CAAGTAGAGCTGACATTTTCCAAAAGTTATTTTCATCCAAGGTGGACTGTAGTTTCGACCTTGCCTAGGCTTTTCATGAAATTCACATTTGCTCTGTAATCCAAGGTCATCCGTTGCAAGGTGACCTATGGGTTAAAGTGTCGAGGTCACACACTGCACTGTCATGGTTCGACTCTCACTGGGGATATTTATAAGACCTAGGCGAGGTCGAAACCGCATTCCACTTCAGCCTGGATGAGAAAACTTTTTTGGAAAGCAAGGCTACGTGTAATTAAATGGAAACGTCAACTCTACTGATGATTTTGGGAAAATTCAACTACCGGTCCTTCATCACCTAAAACGAAACAGGGTGAATACACCTCATATATCATTCGTATAGCCATAATCAAGCAAACTAGTTAAGAAGACGCATCGTCTTACCACCAAATACTGCATATATATTTTTAATCTATGCATTTTGATGAGGTATAAAGTGACTTGGCTAGTTGAAGTCAAGAATAACGCGTGCAAGTCTGTTTTTGTGTATTTATTTGTTCTAAAATGGTTCCAAGAATGCTATGTTTCTGTGATGCCAGTCATTTAAAGAATCCATTTTCAACATAATGAAATGAAATTGCCAAGGTAACAGCGCCAACCGAGAGCTGGCCGAGAAGAATCCACCAGGGCTTTTTGGTGGAATGGAAGTGAGCTCGACAATTATAAACCAAGAGATTCGTCGAAGCTCAGCTTGTCTTCACAAATATCTAAAAAATATATATTTGTCTCATGTTAACCCACCCACCCCCCTATAAATAAGTGATATAGTAAAGGTCTTGTTTGTCTTTAAAGTAGCATTCACTCTCTGACTCATTAGGATATGTGGCTGTGTGGCGGTTTCGAATCCCGTTGTGGGGTACTGATGGGAGACGTAAAGAGATCGAAACTGCGTCCAGAGCTGGGTGAGAAAACCGATTGGTAGTAAAGGTTAAGTGGTCTTCAATGGCATCATAAGGCCTACTAATTTTATTTTGTTAAAAACTCCACTATCCGACCTAAGATAACTACATTCCTAATTTAGACTTTGACAATTTGTTCATCTGACGACCTATTGCCGAATAAAATAGTATACTAGCAGTTTGAAGAGTGATTTAGTTTAAATGACATCCGATTAAGACTATATACTAGGCATGACTACAAATAAAAGCAAACAGACCTTAATAATACGACCCCGTTCCGATGGTAGTGGCATGTGGATCAGACGAGATGTCTGCATTCCATGGCCAAAGAAGTGGTAGCGAAGGAAAATTCGGTTGGAGCCGACTTCCATTCCATCCTTCGGAGGAGGTGAGGGGCCACAGACGGCCCCAGCACGGTCTCGGCCGAAATTGATACCGTGAATGGTTGTAGGTGAGATGAGGTGAGGTGCGGGCAACAAGACGGCGTCCAGATGCAGCGTAAACAACTTGTACGGGAAACCAAGATCGTCTGAGTAGAAAGAATGGGGCGAGAAAGAATAGTGATCAATTGACACCAAGTTAAGATGGCCAGGTTTATGGGACCTTGGATAATTACCTTCAATATGGGATGTGATCAGTAGCATATTTAAAGATACCATTAATTCTTTTTTGACACAGTAAGTTCACGGATAATGAGCAGTTTAATCTGTGAATAATGTTGCCTATCCAAAATTAGGAAAGATAATATTATGGTGCTATCTCACATTTCAACCAAAAGTTTCGGAGAATCAAGTAGGCCGGATTATATTTAAGCATCCATTTAGGTAAGCGGTTCTCTAAAATACCTGCATTCAACGGGTGAATTAGCTAAAAGACCCTCAGCTAATATCTGGACCACATCATACGTTAAGTTCAAAGGGTCTTTAAAATGTCCTTCGTGTTTCAAGCTATATTTTGTTATCATTTAAT